ATATTGATACCCACATCAAGAACTTAATAAAATCACATGGCTGAAAGGAGAGGAGGGAATGCTTATTCTTGGCAAACAGTAAGGATTCTAAAAGAGGAAAAGGAAAAACGTAGTCGAGGAGTATTTTCCAGAAAGTAATCAGTCCAACGTTCCAACAGCTTTTTTACCAGCTCATTGCAAACCCCAAATTCCCCGCAAGTGAATGTTGCAAGAATTATAAAGCTCAGTAAGCGCTTGGCACAGTGCCTGGCATTACACGTCCCAACCTATAAGCTTATTTTCCTTGCCCGTCTCAAGAACCTCGCCAGGGGAGAATAAAAGCCCAAGGCGAATGTGCACGAAACAATAAACCAAACTGATTTCTGGAGCCACCGTGCGCTGGCGGCGAACGCTCCACGCCGAGGACTCGGCTTGATTTCGGCGGGGAAGCGCAGACCCCACGCAGAGCCCGAAGAGGGGCGGTTTCCGCTCGCCGCCCCCGCCGCAAGCACGCCTTAACAGAGCGCCAACGCCAGTGGCGCGCGCCGCCGAGAACTCGCCCACCGCTTGGTAGCGGAGGGCCCCGAGCCCTGCCATTGGCCACGGCCACCTAACGCCCCACAGTTCCCGCCCAGCGACCGACCTAAGGGCGCCCCGGAAGCGGCCGCGCCGGAAGTTGAGTCCACTCAAGCGTCGTCTTCTCATCACTTTCCTGCATGCGGTCCTTGTAGCAGCGGATTTTTGCGCGTGGTCGGCGATGGAACCTGCAGGGGGGCGTTGGGGCTCTGGGGCCGCCCTGTTCTAGCAGCCGCGGTTTTCACAAGGCGCCCAACCGGTTGCCCGCCACCACCCTTCTTCCGCTGCGGCCTGGCGGCGGCATTTTAGGGTCCCCGCCCACTGAGTCCAAGTTCAGGCCAGGGCATAGCCCGCTGCGTTGTGGCAGTGGAGGGGATCGCAGTGGTGTTTACGCCGATGGAGTGGTCAGGCCACAATCTTCGCCCTGTCGCCGCTCCTTGAGTAGCCCCCCATTCTTTGTGCTTGTTTCTTTTCCTGGTCAATTGGCCTTTGCCCCTAGTAAGAGGAGGCCTGCCCCAAGGGACATTCTTGCTGCAAGTGAGCTTTTTTTTTTTGAGACAGAGTCTCAGCCATCTGTGGCCCGGCTTAGGAGTGAGAAGTGCCGATGGGCGTAGCCTAGGCTCACAAGCAACCTCAAACTCCTGGGCTTCAAGCAGATACTCCTGCTCAGTCCTCCCGAGTAGCCTGGGGACTACAGGTCATGCGCACACCATGCCGCACTAATTTTTTCTATATATTCTAGTTGGCCAATTATTTCTATCTTTAGTAGAGACGGGTCTCCGCTCTTGCTCAGGCTGGTTTTCAAGACTCCCTGAACCTTGAGCCCAGGCTCCCAGCCTTCAGCCTCCTGCCTGTGCTTGGAAAGTTTGGTTTATTAAGGTATAATTTCAATACAGTAAACGCAACTGGCATGCTCTGAAGAACGCATGCAGTACTAGACCTGTCACCTAGCTAGATAAAATAATTCCATCCACCCTCAAAACTTCTCTGGCTCTTTACAGCCATTCTCCTTCCCACTTGCAGGGTATGTGGGTAGGTAATGAATACTTCTCCTGGATACACGTCCAGATTCTATTCCACAATAACTAGCAATAGTCCAAGTAAAAAACAAAGAGACCGTCACTTATCTACCCAAACAAAATACACTGGGAAAAAATTATAAGCCAATATGGGGATCTGGAAAAATTCTGATAGAGTTAATTCCTCAATATTTAACAATGCCAGTGACTTTTTGTACGTCCTGGGAATGTTTTCTTCAACACTACAGGGCCTTTTCACTTTCTTGGTTTTTGATCCCAACATCCAGGAATTTTGAAGCACTTCATCCTTTAAGGGAGTGAAGTCCCCAAAAAGGAGTACTCGTAATAAGAAATTCTGCACAACATACTCTTGAGCCCTATTCACACTCTACTGAAACTTCAATAACTCTTGGGTAAAAGACTACGCTAAAAGAAACACTGCCCTATGACAAATGCTAGCTTATGAAGCCTAACAATTCTGGGTACAGTAAGCTTCTTGAAAAGTGTTAGTCTGCTAACTTAATGACAAAAATGATGAATATTCAGGTTTGTCTATCCCCTCCCCTGTTCATACTTGAAATCAATTAGAATATAACAAAATAAGTTTTTGATAATGAATCTCAAAATATCTGGCATTTGAAATACACTTGGATGGTGAAGGGTAGCTATAGCTTGAGAATTGCAGTAGTATTTGCCAAAAGTCCATGGTTCAAATGAAGGCACTGCCTGCGATATATTTGAAATCAGGTAAATTTTTATTTACAATTTGGAAAAACAATTCCTTAAAACATGCATTTAGAAATGGAAGACTTCTTGTAATTATAAAAACCATAAGGAGTATTTCTAAAGTAGACAAAATATTTTGGTTAACAAGAACCAGATTTGACTTTGGACTTATTCCTTTAAACAAATTGTAAGAAGGAGGGGCAAAAGTAGTTGGTTATTTTACAGAAAATAATTACATATGTACTCATATATTTTGTGGAACAGGAAAAGACTTCAGTATATGCTGGAATTCAGAAGCAGTCTCGAATAGCCTTAATATTTATTTTTCTTTGACTTTGAGAATGCCTAAGGATCCTTCTTCATCTTCCAATTTTGGCAGCCAAGTAGTATTTTCAAATGTCCCATACAGCAAATTTTATACTCTACACCTGAAAGAAAACAGGAAGACAGGGTGATTTACTGAGGAGTAATCAACATATACTACCTATGGAAACACATGGTTTGAATTTATGTATCTTTACCCAAGGGGTACATCTGCAGAACATACTGAGTGTTACTGTAGAAGACAGTGGCCCGTGGCTTTTGTGAGAAGTTCAGATACCATCAAGTGCCAAAAGTTAACGTTGAACCTGGCTCATTAATCTCTATGGAAACCTAGCAGGAGAAGCAAAGATTCCATCACACTGAAAAAACATGAGGAAAGTTACAATCCAGCTGGGCACAGTGGCTCAGGCCTGTTAATTATACCACTCCTGGGATGGGCCCAAAATGGAAGGATCCCTGAGCTTGAGTTCCAGAACAAACCTGAGCCAAGAGCAAGACACCTGTCTCTACTGAAAATAGAAAAGTTAGCCTAGTGGAGAGGAACTGTAGTCCTAGCTATCAGGAGACTATGGCAGAAGATCGCTTGACCCAGGAATTTGGGGTTGCAGTGAGCTACAATGACGCCCATGCACTCTACCCAGGGTGACAGAACCAAGACTAATCTCAAAAAAAAAAGTTACATCCATAGTTCATAAATATACTAAAAACCAAAAACCTTTATTGGTCTTTTGGAGGGTGCTACAAAACTAATTTTGAAGACTATAAATAAAGCAAAAGAACTAAGTATTATATTTAGCCTTTTCTATATAAATTGTTGAGGTAATCAAATTATGCAATATGGGACAGCTTCTCTTTAGACAATATTTCTAATAAATCAACTAATAAATGAAGGAACGGTATATTATATTTTCAACTCTGTAAATGCTAATGACTTAATGGAGCTAGACAATGACTATGATGGCTAATATTGCAAAAAACACCCAGATACCTTGAGCCTCCTACTAGAGGTAAACACTACCACCTCTAAAGTATTCTTGCTCTCACCCCAAAACAAACACCCTGAATGTCACTGACCTCTGGAGCTGTGGCTACCAGTTACAGGAAGTATACAGGAATGTGTTGACACTCAGGGATACACTGAGCAAAATCCAGGCCTGGATCTAGTTTCTTCACAAATAGATTGCAGTGGCACCGGGGGAAAAAGAGGAACCAGTAGATTTGAAGAAAGTTAAGGGGCATATAAACTAATTTCAATGTATGCACTTTATTAAAATAGTTTTTTGGATAAATATGAGATTTGAAAAAAACCGAGGCCTAGCAGGGTAGTGGAAATGTGATTCAGGAGTTAACACAATCAGTCCCGGGCTTTGTTATTATGTTTTTTTTTTTGTTTTGTTTTTTTTTTTTTTTAGAAAACTCTATATAAACCGAGTTTTTACTTCATTTAAACTGAGAGTTGACTTATGCAAAGGATAAGAAAATAATATCTAATATTTATTGTAAGCTTATAATATGCCAGATACTATTTAATCCTAATAATCCTATAAGGTTAGGACTTTTAATCATCCTTGATTTACAAGTGTAATTGGTGCTCAGGCTAGTGAGCAAAGTTTTCTCATTTGACTATAACTATCAAATATCAGTGTATAAATACTAAGAATATTTAAAAAAGCACTTGACTTCAGGAAAACCCTCACTTAAAGATATTTAGGAATTACAGTTCTTCATCATTTTGTTAAAGGAGGGCTCTCTAGGCACCCTTTCAAATAATGGAAAAAGCTTAGGTAAATGCTAGTCAATATTGAACATAGTGCAATTCTTTCCAAGTTACATGTAGTCTACTTTCTAGCCTTAGTGAGGAAACTCTCCGGTTCAACTTTGATTCCTACAGCCTGTGACTTTGGTTAAATTGCCACTTAACTCTGTTCAGCTGGCTTCTCCTCCAATGGGCCAATAATTGGAACCACAACACAAAAAGCTAATACAAGGATTACATTAGAGCTAATAACAGCTAGAGTTTTATCCCTAACCATATCCTTCAATTGAATTGCTGTCCAATGCTCAGTTATTTGGTGGAGGCACAGTAAATTATCTCCAGAAAGCTAAAAGGTAGATGCCTACCTTCCCTATCCTATCCTTAGGGGATGTCTGGGCTTGATCTACAAACCCAGCTGAATTTGTATTCCCTTCTCACAGATACACTTCTAAATTGGATGACACTTATCACTTGCAAATTTCAATGGTATCTTTTAGTTTTCACACATTACATGGGATATAATTTTGCCCATTTTTATTTAATTTTTAATAATGAACCTAATGTCAAGCAGTATTACAGTTCTCTTCAAAATATTTTCTATTTATTTAAAACCTACTTACAGCTTCCTCCTCTTTATCAACGTTACTTGTCTGTGACAATTTAATGTTTCCATTTCCAAGTTCTCCACTTGCAGAAAATTTCACTCCATCTTTTGCACAGGAAATTACAACAGCGTCTCCAATATGACTGAGATCTCGGCATATACGTGCAAATTCACCAGAAGGCATCTTTACTACACAACTGTATTCTTGTTCCTACAAAACAAAGAAATTTTAAATGTTAATTACTAAAAATTTAAAGATCTGGCACCCTCACTTTCTTAACAATGAACATCTAAATGAGAACTCAGAATTTAGATTTTCTGATTACTTTAAAACATCATTCACATAATTTCTTAACACACCGCAACCACTCAAAAAACAAATGTGGATATAAAACACGTATTTCATTAGAGCATAAACGTTTAACAGCAAATGCACTATCCAGGGCTAACTCAAGAAGACATTAGGGTATGGCACAGAAACGATGATGGTACAAACAGACCTAATTGATTTCTGAAAGAAAACAAGAGAACATGATATCGGGTATTTTAAGCAAAACATTTCTTCTCTCCTTTGATCTTGATAAACCTACCTAACCTTGACAAATCTATTCTGACACAGCTTACATGTCAGGCCAAATAATAAAATCCCTCTTTGAAACATGTATTAGTAGATAGATTTCTAGAAAAAGTTCTGTCAGGAAACAGGCCTTATATTATTATATTAACATATCTTATGTAACTATCTTGACTGATTGCAGTACCCCCTATAATTTGAAACTTGATACTCACTGGAATTCCAAGTTGTTCAACATCCAAATCCATTAACTTCATTTCATAGTCTGAAACTTTCTCCTGATCTAACAAAAGTAAACGTTGTTGAAGAAAAAGCATGAGTTGATAACCATGATGTAAATTTTACAACATCACCAACATTAATATTCTTAATATTCAGACAGCTTTAGAAAATGCTGACACTGCATTTTAATTTTTTGTAGTATAACTCAGTAAAAGGGTACAACTTACTTGGTGCTTCGAATACTAGTGCCAAGGTGTCCGCATTATCTTCGGCCCTTAGTGTAATGATATCTTCATTGCCAGCACATTTTAGTATTTTGGACATGCTAGAATACACAAGACACAGGGTTTAAAATCAACACGATCTGCTCAAAATCTAGATTTCTAATGCAATTAAGAGTTACCATTTTCATCCATCATGCTGAGAATTGGTAAAGGGGTAAACATGCTGGAGGATGTGTATATCGGTCCCATCATTTTGGAATGCAACTGCCAGTATTTATATAAGAGCAGTATTTTCCGAACTGCAAATCTCTTTAGAACGTAAATTATTCTCCGGCCGCGACAAACCTTAACAATGATCTAACGAATCTATTAAAACACGTTGCATATTGCTTAATTATTTCTTATAAGCCTTTTAAAATGTAAGCATATTTTTTAAAAACGTAATGCACTAAATATGTAGCAGCAAGAAAGCTGAAAGCCATTGCCCTGAAGAAATTTTCCCACAGCTCAGAATGTTCAGATGCGCGCTGCGACTTTGTAATGGAAGACCAGAAACCATCTGCCGCCCCCGAGCAGAGTGACAGGGCGACACACACTCTCACGAGGGCACATTTTGAAGCGCTTAAAGTCAACCACAACTAAGGCTAACACATTCAAGGTCACTGGCATTTAATGAGCAAAGAGCTCTGGAACAGTTTTCCTGTCACTGCAAAAAAGCTGGTCATTTTCCCGCCACCACTCGCTTTGTGACTTTGGCGCGAAAAGAGCCGGTTCGCGCTGTAGCCAGCGCGGGCTTTTCGGAACCGCGCTCTCCGTTGGGCTCCGCCCCCCGGTGTCGCAGGCCAATGAGAAGGCGCGGATGGTTCACGCCAGCCAATGAGGGCCCGGCTCGAAGGCGCTCCCGCCAAGAGCCGGAGAACCGGAGGGGCCCGGGCCCCCGCTCACCGCCGCCCCGGGGCCCACCTGGTGAGGTTCACGCCCATCGCCAGGTTGCGGTCGCAGCGGTACGTGTCGAAGCCCTCGGAGCGCAGGGTGAGCTGCACCAAAGAGACGTGCGACGAGTCCATGCTCTGCAGGTTCACGCCGCTCGAGCTGATGTCCCAGCAGGCCTCGTTGATGAGGTCCTTGAGTGCCTCCAACACCTTCTTCAGGATGGAGCCCTGGACCAGGCGCGCCTCGAACATGGTGGCGGAGTCGCGGTGACGCGGCTATAGGCGGGTGCAAAGGACGAAGGTCTGGCCGGTTTTGGCTCCTCAAGGCTGAGAGCAAGAGGGCAAGCGCAGCAGCGAGAGCCTCAGAGCAAGAAAGACGACGACCCGTCAGCTACGCCAGCAGCCGTTTAATGCCGCCGCGTCCGCAAGCGCGCGCTCTCTTCGCAGCGCCCGTGTTGCAACGTCACCACGTCGACCCGCCCACAGCCTGGGCGGAGAGACCCTAGGACCAATCGTGTCCCTGCTCCGCGCGAGGCCCGCCCCCGAACATCCATTGGAGGACAGCGGGGCAGGCGCGCTGAGCGTCAGGCTGCGGGCGGAGCCGCTCCGGAGGTCTCCTCCTCTTTTTGCCTAATTCCTGAGTTTGGGTTTCGAGGAGAGTCCTGGCTGCGGTCAGGGTCAGGGAACGCAGAGCCCCAGCTTTATAATGACTCCTCAGCCTCCCACTCCGGGAGTAGAAAGTTTCCACCCACGAAAGTGAAATGCAAATCAAATACCGGGAGGCAAAGCCGCCCTGTAGCCCGAAGAGTACAGCTGCTTTAAATATGCACTTTATTTTGCTATTATAGAAGTGATACGCTCCTGTCGGGCGCGGTGGCTCTCGCCTGTAATCATAGCACTCTGGGAGGCTGAGGCGGGCGGATTGCTCGAGGTCACGAGTTCGAAACCAGCCTGAGCAAGAGTGAGACCGGGTCTCTACTATAAATAGAAAGAAATTAATTGGCCAACTTACAGAAAAAATTAGCCAGGCATGGTGGTGCATGCCTGTAGTCCCAGCTACTTGGGAGGCTGAGGCAGGAGGATTACTTGAGCCCAGGAGTTTGAGGTTGCTGTGAGCTAGGCTGACGCCACGGCACTCACTCTAGCCTGGGCAACAAAGCCAGACTCTGTCTCAAAAAAAAAAAAAAAAAAGAAGTGGTACTCTCCTAAAAGTGTCAGACAATAAAGGGGTGTACTGTTTGGTTATAGTTAACTTCCACTCACCGTTTTATAACATCCCCACACACATACCAAGCTCATAAAATCATGCAATCGTTGACTGTATTCAATCTTTTAAGCTTTTAAAAATACAAATACACTTTTAAAAATGTGTTCATTCCAGGCAAGGTGTGGTGGCTCACGTGTGTAATCCCAGCACTTTGGAAGACCGAGGAGGAGAATCCCTTGAGCTCATGAGTTTGAGGCAGCAGTGAGCTGTGATGATGCCACTGCACTCCAGCCTGGGCTACAGAAGGAGATCCTATCTCAAAACAATTAAAATTAAATGTGATCTGTTAAGTATTTTGCCTTAGTGTTTACGAAATGAACAGGTGTTTTTTTGTTGTTGCTGTTTGAGACAATGTCTCAGGCTGTTGCCCAGGCTTGAGTGCAGTAGTGGGATCGGCATGGCTCACTGCAGCCTCCAACTCATTAGCTCAAGCTATCCTCCTGCCTCGCCTCCCGAAGTGCTGGGATTACAGGCAAGAACAATTTCCCCTGGCCAATGAAGTACTTTTAATTTTATACGATGTCCATCTTTTCTATAGCAGTACTCTTTTGAAAAGGGCATAATATCGCATGTATGTAACCTAATTTACCAATTTCCCATTGTAATTACAAACACCTTTGAACATTTAGGTAATTTTAGTCATAGCAGCTCCTTGAAGCAGTATTGCTTAGTCAAAGAGTATACACGTTTAAATTTTTGATGTTACCATATTGACCTCTAAAAGATTGCTATTTATGCTCCAGCCAACACTGTGCTCATTTCCCCTTATTTTCCTAATAATATGCGCAATCACGGTTTTAAATCTCCGTTTGTGTGAAAATTTCCATTGTTACCGGTTGGAGGCAATTTGTTGTTTCTCTTTTGCTTTGTTTACATTTCTCTTTAGTTGCTTTCAATATCTTATCGTGGTCTGTCAAATCCTTCGGTTTTCCTACCGTGTATCTAGGTATGGATTTAGTTTTATTTATCCTGTTCAGGGAACTGAAGATTAATTTATTTCATCAAGTCTAGAATATTCTCAATCATGACTTTAAATATCTTCCTTTTTTTTTTTTTTTTTTTTGAGACAGAGTCTCACTCTGTTGCCCAGGCTAGAGTGAGTGCCGTGGCGTTAGCCTAGCTCACAGCAACCCCAAAACCCCTGGGCTTCAAGCAACTCCTCCTGCCTCAAGCCTACCCCGAGTAGCCTGGGACTACAGGTATGCGCCACCATGCCGCCTAATTTTTATATATAGATTAGTTGGCCAATTAATTCTTCTATTATAGTATAGACAGGGTTTGCTCTTGCTCAGGCTGGTTTGAACTCCTGACCTCGGGCAATGCACCGGCCTCGGCCTCCCAGAGTGCTAGGATTACAGGCATGAGCCCACCGCGCAGGCTCAAATATCTCTTATTCCTATTCTGTCCTCTGCACTTTCTCTCTTTTTCTTTCTCTTTCTTTCCTTCCTTCCTTCTCCTCTCTCTCTTTTTTCTTCTTCTTTTTTCTAGTTCAGCTCTGACTTCCAGACAGGATCCAAGAGGAATTTACCTCCTCTTTGTTTTTGGAGACTTACACCTTCTGTGTTAGTCTCTTAAGCAGTGCATCACCTTGAAAGGGCATCTCCCTTTGGCATTTCTATTGACACTATGTACTTCACTGAATTTAAGATACTTTCAATGTAAGATGTACCATTATTTTATTTAGCACAAGAATGAAAATAAAACTGTCCACATTATATACAATGTTTTATCACTTAGAATTTCTATTTTGTGGCTGGGGTGGTGGCTCATGCCTGTAATACTAGCACTCCGGAGGGCGAGGCGGGAGGATCACTCAAGGTCAGGAGTTTCAAACCAGCCTGAGCAAGAATGAGACCCCTCCTGCACAAAATAGACAATAAATAATGGCTAACAAAGAGACATTAAAAAAATAAGACAAAATAGTGCATAAAAGGTGTCCAGCTTGAGCCCAGGTGGGCATCTTTCCACACCATTCCACCAGAGGCTGAAACAGAAGATCTGCCTGAAGTCATCGGAGTTTATGGTTGCTGATGCCACGGCACTCTAGCCATGGGCAAAAGAGTGAGACTCCTGTCCAAAAAAAAAAAAAATTTCTATTTTTTAATTATAAGAAGAACATTTAGCGGGCGTGTGCCCTTCACGCCTGAATCTACGCACTCTGGCGAGGCAGAGGTGGGTGCATCTGCTCGAGCGTCCAGGAGTTCGAAACCAGCCCTGAGCAAGAGTGATGACCCCGTCTCCTAACTGATCAATAGAAGAAATTAATTGGCCACACCTAATATATATACGAAAGACTTAGCCGGCAATCAGTCGGGCATGCCTTGAGTCCCAGCTACCTCGGGAGGCTGAGCAGGAGGATTGCTGAAGCCCGCAAGGAGCTTGAAGGTTGCTGGAGTAGGCCTACCCCACGGCACTCGATTCTAGCTGGCAACCACAGTGAGACTGCGTCTCAAAAAAAATAAAAAAGAATATTTAGGACTATTAACAAACATTCCTTTATCATATGTCCTTTTGTGCTTTACATACAAAAAAAAAAGCCAAAATGGCGCGGCGCTGTGGCTCACGCCTGTAGATACTACGCTTCCTGGAGGGCCCGAGCGGCGATGCTCCAAGTAGGAGTTCAAAACCAGCCTGAGCAGAGCCGAGACCCGTCCTACCATAACAGAAGAAAATTAATGGCAACGATATCATAGATAAAAAAATACCGGCATGTGGCGCAGCCTGTAGCCAGCTACCCGGCAGAGGCTAGGCAGAAGAGGGATCACTGAGCCCGGCGATTTTCTGAGGTTCTGTAGCTAGGCGACGGCCCACGGCACTCACTCTAGCCTGGGCAACACAGTGAGACTCTGTCTCAAAAAAAAAAAAAGAATATTTAGACTTTAAAAACATTTTTATCATATGTTGCTTTTGTGCCTACATAAAAAATATAAACAAAATAAATTAGTTAAGTCATTCTTACTACTTCTCCACATTCAGAGTTTCCTACTCAGTTGCTGATTTTGTTTTTCCATATAATCTCACACTGTATTGTCAAGGATGTTGATGATGCAGCATTTTGCAAGAGAGCTACTCTATTGTCTGTTATTTCTTGCAAGCCTCTGCTACCCATTTGTAAGTTTTGATGCTAAAACTTTCTTGCTTTATATGTGATTGACTATCTTTTTGCAATATCTCAATATCAAAACATAATACAGCTTCATCTATGTGTGGGTATTTTCCTTTCTTGGGTCTCTTAAAGTCTTAGTTCCTTTGCAAAATGTGTTTATTCCTTCAGTGAAGAACATTTGCTTCACTAATAACAAATGTATATGTTCTGCTACTCTGTTTCAGTGCTCTCAGCTTACATAATAACATTTTGATTTAATGCCAAATCATAGTGAAATGGATTTCAAAACACTTTAAATGTCAATCAAACTCTACTCATATGGTACCCAGAATACACATGAATCTGTTGAAATGAGGACATAAAAATGACTATGACCTGTGGTCAGAGAAGGCTTCTCTGAGAGATAGTATTTTACCAGAGAAGCTAGATGTTTGGAAAGTGGAAGAAAGAGCATTCTAGGCTGAAAAAATAGCATGATTACAAAGGTCGTCATGCTTAGATGTTCAGACAGGTTCGTTGTGGAATGCAAAAGACTAATGTGCCATGAGCACACTGAACAATGTAGAGAGTGGTGCAAGATAGGTTGCAAAGAAAGGCGGAGTAAGATCTTACAGGACTTTGTAGGCCCTCTATAAATGCAAGGGAAAGTTATCAAAAGCACGTCCTTGACATGATCCAATTTGCATTTTAAGAGGTTCACCTTAACATATAGTAAAGGTACTATTCGATCAGTGGAAGAAAGAATGAATTAAGTAAATTTTGATCAAATGATTGATTAAACTGTTAGAAAAGAATAAAGTTATAGACTGTTCCTAATAACTATTCACCAAAATAAATTCCAGGTACATTAAAGAATTCAAATTCAAATAAATGTATATCCAATAAGAAATGGAAAAATATTTCAGTAAATATTTATGTGATGTTCCTGTGTGCTTCTAACTATAAAAGGAAAAAAACCATAAAACACAGGAATGACTGCATAAGTTTTAAGACTTTAATATGCCTACAAGCACTGTATTGGTTAGTATACCTTAGGTTTCAGTGACAGAGATCTCAAACTGATAAACAGAAAAGGGAAATTTATTCATCTAAAAAAAAAAGC